GTCACAGTATCAGTGTGGAAATAGTGTTGATCTGGAATTAGTTTTGTATCTGTTGGAAAAATCAAATTTTGTGTTAAGATGAGCCAGGTTAGCCTTTGGACTTCGAAAGTGGGGGGCATGACCATCAATGTACAGAGGGCTGCCACTGACAGACATCCTGTTCTCTATGACATGTTCTATCTTGTTCGGTATCTACTAGACGTAAAGGGTAAATTTATACCTCCGGTAAACTGCAGATCACTCATTAAACAAAATGGCAACAAGATCTTTTAAATCTTATAACCACGCTTTTAAAATTTAACTGTTTTGTCAATACTACAGTCACAACGCAGAGCTCATTCCAAAGCAGTCCTTGATGATTTACTGATTACTGTAAACACATCACTTGATCAACACAAACTGTGTTATAACTTATTGCACCATCACTCTTGGCCTTTGTGCAATCTATGATGACATAATGGTCTTAATCTGGAAGTTCGCTCAGGATGTGCCCATGAATAATACAAAAGGAAACGAGTGTCATGCTACTAATAACGCTTTTCATAAACAGCTTTCTCCCTGAAATGTCAATATTTAATTTGTTTGTGCTTTGAAGTAGTCATGCAAGTCACACAATCAGAGGGTTTGCACTATCCACGGCTAATTTTAGAACGGTTGAGTTTTTTCTCCTAGCACTGACATAAACGTTGCAATTCTGGCAAGCTCTTGTTTACCTCAGCAAATACTTAATTTTTCTTCAAATCTCTTAACTCGCTGCAATGAAACAGCCAAAGAATTCGCTTCATTTGCCGAAACGCACAAAAAATACTCACAAAATTGCACGTAAATTAATGACCCTCGCTTCTGGTGAAATAAACTTGCAAAGTAAACACGATCTTATCTGTCACGTAGCAAAAATGAAAGCGGCAATGTCAGCGCATTCCATGGTTGACGGAACACCCTTTTACAGCGTTTTTAGTGTATTTATTATTTCCCTTTGAATCCATTGTATTTTCCACACTCGCACCTGTGCATGAAATGACGTAACATATCTAAAGAATTGTATCATTGTCCATTATAAGCTACATGTTTCCCATGCTCTTGCCATGAGTTGAATATCGATAAACTTGAATTGTTGAAAATAAAAACCTAGAATAGTGGAGCATAACTTGAGAGTGAAATTCAGCTTGCTTATAAGCTTGCATAATGCGTACGCAAACACAGCTAAACACAACTTCGTAAGAGCATATTACCACTCGGTAACTGTTACAGTGCCTTCTAATCGATTCCTCAAAGTTTTCTCCATTTCTTTGTCAGCTTTCCTCTCCCTTTCGTACTCTGCCATCCATTCTGCATCAGCGAGTGATTTTTCAGCAAATGCTGCTGCATCTTCCTCACCATCTAGTTGACAAATCTGTGGACAAGACGTCGCTTTCTCACTCGATCTCATACTCTGGATATGAACTCAATTCAGAATCAACTGAGGCCCTGTCCACATGTATCCACATATTTTTGAAAACGGAGATTTTTTTCTCTGTTTTCAAAAAATATGCGTCCACACGTAGCATTTTCAAATCATATTCACCTGTCCACATGAATACGCTAAAGCCAGGTAAATACGCTAGCTCTCTCTATAGAGCATGCGCTGTAACCAATAGAGCATGCACTGTGGAAGAGACTGGAGCCCGCGAAATTTATTTCTTGGCGCCATCTTTGTTTGTTTCTCGTCGCGTCGCATGGGTTGTAACCTGTTTTATCTGCTTTAAACTCTTTCACAATGTCGTCAAAGTCTGGTCAAAAAGCCACCACCAAATCAAAATCAAAAGGCAAGGGGAAAGTAGAGTCATTCGTGTGGACAGATGACGAGGTGGAGCTGTTATTGAAGGTAACACTTGAATACAAAGTCAACCAGACAGCCAAAAATATCGATTGGGA